GTCATAAGACTACTGTGGGAACTGATTCTCCTCTTCTACCACTCAGATCATGGGAACTGAATTCAGGTTGTCTGTCTCAGCAGCAAGTGCCTTTACCTGCTGAGCCACCTTACCAGCTCCGGAATTTCTTATGTGGGTGATGAAAATATCCTAAAATTAGATAAAACTAAAGAGTGATTCCGTATGAAGTGCTTAGAGCAGTCTGACACATCAAAAATGATCCAAAAGTCATCGTTAAATAGAGCTAACCTCCAAACGGAGGCATACATGCTGATGAACTCGGGGGGGGTGGGGGTGGAGGTGGGAGTGGGAATCTGTTCGCTAATATGATTTTAAAGTAATTTTCCATTCTTGAATCTTACCGTCTGTTGTGTACTTTTTATAAATCTTGCAATTGTCTTATGGAGAGCATCGTTATATGGCAGTATAGATTACATATATTAAAAGGGTTATTAGACATAAACCTTGTCATACTGAGTTCCTCCCCCTCCTTCCAAGTGAGAGGTGGCTCAGGGCTCTGAAAGACATGTGATGATCTGCTCCAAGTCACATGCCTCAGACAGGATGTAGAAGGCAGCAGAAGCCAAGGGTGTCACAGAGACACACTTGGATGGATAGCCAACACAGTATGCAGATAAAGCCAGCTAGCTACCGGCAGAGAACTAGGGATTGTGATGAACTTTAACCTACTTGGTCTCCCAATTTTCTGAAACTGGATTAGAGTAACTCAACAGCAAGAAGAATTCAAGTTAAAGAAGCAAGGGACAGTTATAAAATCCTTATGGAGTGGACCTGGAGAGACAGCTTAGGGCTAAGTGCATTAGCTTCTCTTCCTGAGGACTGGGTTCGATTCCCAACACCCCCATAGCAGCTATAACTCCACCTGTAACTCCAGTTCCAGGGCATCCAACACTTTCTTTAGACCTCGTTGGGCACTGCACATGTATAATACATGGAAGTACATGCAGTCTTGCTAATGAATTGTAAGCTTGGCCTGTGAGTGTCTGGCTAATGTTTTTGTTTATTTCTTTTGCTGTTGTTTTTGTAGACAGGGTCTTGCTGTGTAGTCCAGGCTGGCCTCAAATGTGTGATCCTCCTGCCTCAGTCTCTTGAGTACTTGAGCTGTCTATCTCCTAACTCCCAGACATGTGTGGTGTGTGCATTGGGACTTGAATTCAACGCTCCTGCCTTAGTCTCCACCCCCTGCCTGCCCAGTCTCAAGATGAACCAGGGATGAGAAATGAAGATCAGGACTGCAAGATGGTTTAACAAATATAAAGACACGATGCCTAGGGACCCTGGTTTGTTCCATGGGAATAGTAGGACTGACCCCCCCACAAATTGTGCTCTGACCTCCACACAAGCAACATGGTATACACATACTTATACCACCACACAGAAAACAAGTAAGTAAATGTAATTACAAATTTAAAAAAGGCCAGGTGGTGATGACACACACTTATAAGCCCAGCACTCGGGAGGCAGAGACAGGCAGATCTCTGTGAATTCGAGGCCAGCCTGGTCTACAAATTGAGTACCAAGACAGTCATGGCTGTTATAGAGAGAAACTCTGTCCCAAAAAAACCCAAAATAAATAAAACAAAAAAAAATTTAAAAAAGCCCTAGCCGGGCTGTCTGGAAAAATCAATCAATCAATCAATCAAAGCCCTGGAAGCTGTACTTTTCTATGAAGATGCCAGGTAGATCCAATGATGACAGTTCTCTAGAGATACACTTTTGGGGTATCTCCAAACATGTAGCTGGTAGGTGTTTTATTTTGAGACAGGATCTCATGTATATCAGGGTGGCTTCAAACTCACTGTGTAACCAGGGATGACATTGAACGTCTGATCCTCTTGCCTCACTTCTTGCCTGCTGGGATTGCAGGGGTGTGTGTGTGTTGACACCAGTTCTATGCGGTGCTAAGGATGGACTTAGGGCTTTGTGCATGCTGGGCAAGCGCTCTGCTAACTAGGCTACATCCTGACATCATCACTTTTCTTTCTTTCTTTTTAATAATTTATTTATTTGTATTATGACTTTTTGTATTATTTGTATTATGCGTTTTGTCTGCATGTATGTCTGTATGAGGTTGTCAAGCCCCTGGAACAGGAGTTACAGACAGTTGTGAGCTGCCATGTGGGTGCTGGGAATTGAAGCTGGGTCCTCTGGAAGAGCAGTCATTGCTCTTAACTGCTGAGCTATCTCTCCAGCCCCCATCATCATTTTATTTTATTGCACTTGAACCCCGGTACCACATATACCATGCTTGGTAGTGCATGTCTGTAATCCAACCACTTGGGAGGAGGTATCAGAAGTTCAGAGTCATCCTTTGCTACATACTGAGTTCAGAGCCAGCCAGCCTAGGTTACAAGAGACTCTACCTCAAAAAGAAGAAGAGAGCTGGAGAAATGGCTTAGCAGTTAAGAGCACTAGTTGCTCTCGCAGAGGACTAGGGTTTGGTTCCCAGAACCCATTTAGGCAGCTCACAACTGCCTGTAACTCCAGCTCCAGAGTATCCAATGCCCTCTTCTGGTCTCTGCCTGCACAGCACAAACATATATTACGCAGACATACAAGCAGGCGAAACACCCACACATACGAAATGATTTTCTTTCTTTCTTTCTTTCTTTCTTTCTTTCTTTCTTTCTTTCTTTCTTTCTTTCTTTCTTTCTTTCTTTCTTTCCTTCTTTCCTTCCTTCCTTCCTTCATTCCTTCCTTCCTTCCTTCCTTCCTTCCTTCCTTCTTTCTTTCTTTCTTTCTTTTTACTTTTTTGGATGAACGGCGGTGTTTAACTACTGGCCCACAAAGTTCCTAAAGATTCAACCAATGACTTTCAACAGGCCCCTCCTGGATGTCGTATATGATCCAACTGAACTCTGCCAACCTTCCAGGTACTAACAGCTGCCACTCATCCTGCACTGCACAGACTTCATGCCTTTCAGCACGCACCTCTCCACTAGCTCTAGCTGGCAGAACACTCAGTGCCAGTAGGGTCTCCTGAATGATGCCTTGGCATGGAGGAAAACTTGGAGAGGGCTGCAGACAAGTGCAAACAGTTTCAGAAATACTGAACAGTTATTGATTCTGATCTTAGGGGATCTAATCCTAAATTATGCTCAAAGCTGGCTTTTTTTTTTCCCTTTTCCTGACTCTGAGGAGAAACTTGGCCAATCCAACACGTCTTTGTCTTGTAAAATCTCTAACTAGAAGTCTTTAAGGCAAGTACTGGGCAAAGGTGGAAACAGTGGGGTGGGAGCGGGGGTAAAGTTTCCATTAGGCAGCCTCTGAGGAATGTGTACCTTAACCCAAGTGAGGGAAAAACAGTTGTGTGTTTGTGTGTGTTTCATCTTTGGGGCTCACTCTAATAACAAAACCGGCTTTGTGATCATATAATGACATGCTGTCGGGGTGCATCTTAATTATGATTAATTACCAGGAGGATTATGAGGCAGGGCTTTCCCCGGGCCAGCTCTGCTCCTCACAGAGTCTCTTGTCAGGTTGTAGCATGAATCCCCAGCTTCGCTGAACGCAGCGGCCGAGCTTCCTGATGGAACTCAAAGCACAACAGGGCAATTGTGCCTCCTCTCTAGACCTTTGCCTTCCTTCCCTTTCCCACAGAAAGGCCAGCAGAAAGTGGCAGCTGAGCGAGGAGCGGCAAACACCAGCTACTGGCTCCCTCAGGTGTGTAGTGCAGCTTGCCTCAGTCATCATCAGCAAACAATGCAGACATCCTGTGCCCTGTGTGTTAGCACCTTGGACAGCTGGTGCTTACAGGGAGTTTGGAGAATGAAGTCCTCTCTGATAAGGCACAAACAGTTCCTCTCATTCACAAATTGACCATCAGTGTCAGAAAAGGTGGTCTCTCCACTCCCAGTGCCCCGGAGCTGTGTTACTCAAAGTATCTTCTGCATTCCTTTTGTGTTTGTGCACTGAATTCATGTTTGTGTGTGCCTACTTGTTTCTCCATGTGGATGGAGGGCAGGAGACAACCGTGGGTGTTAATCCTTAGGGTCTCTCCCCCTATTTTTTTGAGGATGGGTGTCTTCTTGGCCTGGAACTTGCCTAGCAGGCTCGTTAGACTGGCCATCTTTTTCTGCCTCCCCAGCAAGCGTGCTTTGCCAAAGAGGGTTTTTCTTTATGTGGGGCTCTGGGGACTTGGGGACTCAGGTCCTCACACTAGCAAGGCAAGCAATCTCTCCAGCCATCTTCTTCCCCATCTGGAAGCACCAAAACCTAGCACAGTTCTTTAGGAGACACCTACCTCAGGCTAAGAGAGGCTGCTGTCCTCAGGGGGTTTATAGTCACAGGAGCAATGAAACATGGCATTTGGTCCAGGCTGGCTTTGGGTCGGTGTGTGTGTGTGTGTGTGTGTGTGTGTGTGTGTGTGTGTGTGTGTGGTGATGAGAAGCCCTTATCGATGAGGTCATATTCCAGGTGTGTCTTGCCGAATGAAAGGAAGAACATCTGCCAGGTGAACAAGAGGGACAAGAGGGGCTGTCTTGGCAGTGGGGCCAGCTTCAGTTTACTAGCTACGTCAGTGGGTAATGAAGTCAGAGACATTCTGTTCTTGTTTAGTTGAAATTTTAAAAAGTTCAAAGCTCCTCGAAATCTGATAGGATGTGAGAGTGAACCTAAGGTGAAGAGGATACGAAAGTTCTGATTAGTAAAAATGAAGAAGGCAAAATCGGTCTATGTTTTGGGTGACAAAATACCGAGAACCGTGTTGATAAAAACAAGTAAAGAATAAAAAGAGAGAAAAAAAATCCCAGATTGAAGTGTAAATGGATTTTTATGGCCTTCTTAAATCGTCCTATAATTTAAATTTTAAAGTAATTGTCGGTGTTACCTGCGGACCACGCCGCATTTCTCCGTCTGTAGGGGGCGCAGAGGTCTCTACCTCGCCTCCTTCGGCTGAAGGGGCGGAGCCTCCGGGGCCAGTATGGATTGACGATTGGCTGACCCAGATGTCGGTTACGGCGTCCCGCCTCCGCCCTACGTCACATGACGCAGCCCATCATGGCGGCGGGAGCGCGGCTGCCTGGGCCCGCCGCTCCGCAGGGTGGCTGCTGTTGCTGCTGTTGAGGGGCGGCAGCGGCGCAGACGGGCGGGAAGGATGATGATGCTTCTGCGGCCAGAGCGGCGGATGCAGACCGGGAACGAGGTTGACGTTTGGCCGAAGAGACGTGTGTCCCGAAGTAGCCGGCGCCGGTGTCGCTGAGGCAGCGCGGAGGACTGACTGACTGATTGACTGAAGGCGGCGACCCGAGAGCCGGCCCCGGGGGACCGCGCGGTGGACGAGATGCCGGGGCCGCCGGCGTCCTCGCCGCCGCCGGTGCTGCTGCTGCTGCTGCTCCTGACCGTCGGCAGTGCCCGGGCCGCGCCACTTCCGCAAACAGGTGCCGGTGAGCGGGGCCAGGGGGCTGCGGGGCCGCTGCGTCTTGCGGGGCAGCGGCGGGGACGGCGGGCCTGCGGGGTCTGACCTAAGCGATGGATCGGCGGCCTGCCGAGGGCAGGAGGCCGCGGGAAACGAGCGATCCCAGGGAGATTTCTTGCCGCAGGGGCGGGGGGTTGGGGGGCGGAGGCGCGGCGACGCGGTGGGGGTTGGGGAAGACGGCGGGGCGAGGTGGCAGCGACGGATTCTCCCGCATCCCTGGGCGACTCTTGTCCCGCACTCTAAACTTGTTGCCTAAAGGTCCCTCAAGCATCTGTCCTCGACACTCCTGCCCTTTTTTCCAGATGTTACTTGCCTGTTGTGGCTTTTCTCGCATCTTCTAATAAGAACCGTTTCTTATCTCTCGTTATTCCTTAAATGAAAGCAGTGATTCCGGGAAGCTGTGCGGAGTTTTCCTTGGCTCCCCGAAACTTGTTCTGAAGTTGTGAATTGATTTTAGATGCTATGGTTATTGGATTATGTGTTTACTTATTTATCCTTATTCGGAATGAATCTCTGGGAATGAGGACGGAAGCCAGTGATTGGAGTAGCAGCTTTTGAGTAACTATTGACAAATGGGCCTAAGGGTAATTGAAATTTCTATTTTAGTGGCATCACTGAGCGATTCTCTTTTTCAGCCCTTAGCCCTTCCATATTTTCTGCATAAGTATTAAAACATATCTTAGCTAAAGAAAACATCTCAGAAATTTTAAGGGGGAAAAGAATCTAGACTAACTTCCCATCATTACAGATTATCTTTTTAGTGGAGGGGGAGGCATTAAAATTTCAAAAAACTTTAGAGTTTGGAACAAACTGTAAAGAGAATTTAGTTCAATTTCTTCATCTTTTGCTTTGAGGATGCTGGGACCCTGGTGATCAAAAGAGATACTCAAGGTGACATAGCCAAGTTGTAGTTGGGTACAAACCCAGGTCTTAGATTCACCTTGTTGTGTGGTCTCCCCTCCCCAACCTCCAGTTCACTTCTAGTTTTGTAGCTGTCTGTGGAATACATCTGAGGCCCAGGAGTATTTTGGAATAATATGGAGTGCAGAACTACCTTCAGTCAATACAGGTGCTTCATACAAATCTACAATGAAAGAGATGTGCTGGCTTCCAGAACTATACCAGGTTATATGCCATTGAGTGGCCTTCAGCTGAGCATTAAGTGATGTCATTATACTATATAATGCAACACTGTGTTTCTGTTGTTGCCTTAGAATCAAGTCTTCTTGATGACTTCTGTGTTCGGAGCCAATGGATAAGATAACTGAATGTCACCAGATGTAGATCGGCAGCCAGGACAGGGAAACTGGGAAAGATTATATGGCAAGGTAGTGTTGTTGCTATGTAAAGATATTGACACTTAAATAGAAAAGTAACACTAGAGTAGCATACTGGATAGAGTGTGTGTCAGGGGGATTCCAGAAACTTCCAGAAGATTGTGCCTATCAGTTTTCTTTAATGCATTTTGAAAAATAGACTTTATATATCTGTGTGTGTATGAAGTGTGTCTGCTTGTCTTCTGTGCCTTTTATTTCTATTCTCATTTCATTTTATAGAGGCAGGAATTTCAGAGAGCTGAGTTTTGTTGAGGTCTTATAAAACAAAGCAACCAGAAAAAAAATGAACTCATGAATTCATTGCTCCTTGCTCTTATTCTTTGGAAAGGTCAGACTGTTTAATGGTGCCTTGGAGAAAGCACAATTCTCAGAAATAGGTTGGGTGTGCATGTGCTAGGGGAATCTACTTGAAGCCAGGTATGGTGGTGCATAGGTGTAATCCAAGCACTCAGGCAGAGGCAGGGAGGATCAATACAAAGATCTGGGCCACCTACGTAGTTAGGCTACATAGTGAGGTCAAGGCCAGCCAAGGCTACATATTGAGACTTTCTCAAAAAGACAAAACAGCAACAATAATAAACACATAAAGTTTTATCCTTTGCTTGTCTATTTATTTGCGTGGGAAACAAGAGAGTTGTGACTTAAAGTACAGCTTTTCTTTTTAAAATTTTCATTTATGTGTGTGGGTGTTTGCCTGCGTGAATGCATCATGTGGGTGCTTAATGCCGGAGAAGACCAAAAGAGGGATGGTGTCAGATCCTCTGGAACTGGAGTTACAAATGACTGTGAACAGCCTTGTGGGTGCTAGGAATCCAACCTGGTCCTCTGAAAGAATGTCCTGTGTTCCTAAATGCTGAGCAGCCATTTCTCCATCTCATCTCCAGTCCTTTATTTCTTAACTTTTTAGGTTAGTATGAAAAGTAATGAATTTCATTAGGACATCTTCTTTCATATATAAACTTTAAAATTGAAATTAACTTATGAAAGATGTCTTTGTTATTCAGAGTCATTCTCAGGGTTGGAAGTTGCAAGGTGTTTACTCATTGACTCATAGTAAAACTATGTAAATATGTGACTTGCCTTGTGCATGGAAGTTTTTCCTTTTGTTTTCTTGAGGCAGAGTCTTGCTTTGCAAAGGCTGTCCACCAAACCTGGATCCTCCTACCTTAACCTTTGGAGTGCAGATGACAGGGGTGCACCAACCACTGTGCCTGGTGGCTCAGAAGGCATTTTGTTGTTGAGTTTTATTGTGAGCTACTCTGTGTTTGAAAGATGCTTTTTTATTTATTTCCTGTCTATGGGTCCCTTTTCCTGAAGATCCCTATTCTGCTGTATGAGCCTTGTTATGTAAACTGAGAACTTGCTAGGCCTCACTGGGAAGCTTAGGGGAAGGGAGAAAATACAGTTTTCACAAATGCTGCTAAGGGACCTACTAAGATTATAGCTCAGTTCTTTTCTGTATGGTTATCAGATCATTTTTCGGAAACCTGTGTGTGCTTGTAAGAGCCTGTGGAGTTAAGCATAAATCTGAATGGGAAGAAAAGAAAGATCCTATAGTGGTGTATGTGAACAATTCCTCTGAGCGATGTTGCCTTGTTTATATTAGGGTAGTGGTTAGACAGGGAAACCCACTTCTATTGTTCTACAGCATATTAGGTCACAGAACACAGAGGAAGCTTTTTGCAGGTCCAGATAAAGGCCCTCACGGAAGCTGGTGGGACTTGACCGACCGCTGATTAAACGTGGCTTCTGAATCTGGTGCTCTCCATTTAGGTGAAGCACACAGACTTATATCTCGAACAAGTTTCCTACCATCAAGGAATTGCTTTCCAAAGTTTGAATTTTTGTGATTAATTTTCACAGCTTCTGAGAAGTAAATATTTTTCAATAGGCTTTGCAAGTAGATTCTTTGGACTTGCAAATGGATTTAGGTTAGGATTGCTCTTATTGCTTTCACTTGGTGACAGTTTTGTGCCACTAAATATGCTTTTTGCACTATAATCAGAAGTCTGTCCAGTTTTGTAGCTGCTCAGCAGTAAGGTTACCAAATCCTTACAGCTTACTGTTATCAGTGTGCTGACTGTTGATGCACTTCTCTTGAAATTTGGAGAGTCCTTGGGCCCTCTCTGTCCCCTGTGGGCTGTGTCACTTTGATAACAGCTGTACATATAATAATAATTTTAAAAAGGGCATTGTTATGTAAAAAGGGAATATCCAGGTTCTGAAACAGTTAAAATAAACGAGTCCTCAAAAAGGTCTTTGTGACTAAGTGGCAGTGGTGGTGGTGGCAGTGGTGTCACATGCCTTTAATCCAAGCACTGAGGGCCTCTTAGTTTGAGGCCAGCCTGGTCTATAGAGTCCCAGGACATCCAGGGTTACAGAGAGAAACTCTATCTTAAGACCCCCCCCCCAAAAAAAAAGTCTTTGTGGATAGACATAGGTAGAAAGAATTAACTTTTCAGTCCAGTTGAGAGTAAAATTCATAAAACGTTGTAGAGGGAACATGATGTCTTAAGCAGAAGCTGGGCTTTGAGTTAGACCTGGGTGTGAGGCCTTCCTTCCTCTTCTGTTTCACTAGCTTTAAAGTCCTGGGTCAGGCCAGGAGGCTGAGGCAGGAAGATCCCAAGTTCAAGACCAACCCGAACAACTTAAGAATCGGTCTCAAAATTAGAAAAGTAAAATAAGGACTGGGAGCCTGATGTTGATGCACACACATTTAATCTCAACATTCAGAGGCAGAGGCAGTCCTGATCTCTGTGAGTTCAAGGCCACCCTCCACACCAGTTGGGGCTACATAGTGAAGCCCTGTCTCAAAATAGGAAGGGGCTGGGTGGGGGTGGGGATATAGCTTAGTGGCATTTGCTCAAACATGCAGGAGACCCTAGGTTCAATCTTTAGTACTGTAAAGACAAAATCTTGGACCAGTTATTTGCCCTCTCTTGGCTTATCATAACTTAATACATTAAGCAAAACAAACAACAGATAAACAGGGCCTGGAGAGATGGCTTAGCTGTTTAAAGTACTTGTTAGCTCTTGCAGAGGACCTGGATTCTATTCCCAGCACCCACTTGGAGGCATACAATCATCCGTAACTGAGTTCCATGGGATCCAGGTCCCTCTTCTGGCTTCTGTGGACACATAGTGCACATACATATAAAATAAAATAAATCTTTAAAAAAAAGTAATAAAATCTATGTAAATAGTTGTTGGAAGGGTGAATAGGTAGCATTATAATGTTGCACCCATGTCTGCTTTATGTTGTACTTGGTAACAAAGAGTTCTTCATTGCCTCAGATTTCCTTGTTAATTGGGTGGTTTAGCTAGTCACAAGTGATATAGCTTCAAAGAAATAAGACTGTGTGTTTTTGGTTTTGTTTTTAGTTTTTTTTTTTTTTTTTGAGACAGGATCTCATGTATTCCATGCTGGCCTCAAACTTGCTGTGTAGTGGTGGATGACCTTGAACTTCTGATGTTCCTGCCTCTGCCTCCTGGGATTGGAGGTATATGCCACCATGGTCAGTTTTATGTGGTGCTGGGGACTGAACACAGGGCTTCCTGCATGCTAAGCTAGTATTCTACCAACTGAGCTATATCCCCAGCCTCCAAAGAAGGAGCTCTTAAGTGGTGGTTC